ATTTTCTTACTGAAGGATCCCCTCTTAAATTCTAAAGGACAGATTTTGACTGAAGAGAACCTTTTCAGGTACTTGCAAAGTTGTTATACTTTTGAACATAAAACCTCCTCCTCTTGTATGTATGTGGATCATAAGTGTGATTAATATTGCCACTTTAACATCTTAACTCATGTTATTTCATTATGGATTTTATTCAGCTGTGATTTCTTTATAATTGCAATGAAATAAGATATGTAATTGGTTTAAAAAACTTAATCTCTTTGTAATGGAAAGAAGAATGTGTAGGATGGAGGTTAAATACATTGTTAAAGAAAATAGAATAAGAGAGGTGATATGATTTTTAGGGCCCTACATGTCTGATTGTTTCTGTGGGGTTTTTTTTAAATACAGCTTGTAGTGCTGAAATAATGTTCAGCTTTAAAAGAACCCACTCCTCCTCAGTCAGTCAAAACTCCCACTGAGTTAAATGGGCAGGATTTGGATTTGTGTCTGCATAAAGTTAATTGCAGAATCAAGATCTTAACTTGAGTTTAACTTAAACAAATGAAAAAAGAAAAGTAGGACAGTATGCAAAACTTATCCAGTTGACTATTAAATACTCTTCATTTGCCCACCAAATTATCTGAAATTGTTCATTAGCTTGTTTAATGTTTTGACCTTTTTAAATAATAATTTTATTTATGAAATACTCAACTTTTCTGAGACAAAGCACTGAACAAATAATTAAAATACTCCATGATTAAGAAAATATTATAGGCCTATTATTAAGGTTTTCCAATACTCTTCATTATAAGACCTTGTTTTCAGTTGCTTGTATCTTTGTCAGACTTTAACCATTTGGGCTGAAACATTCCATACCAAGTTTCTGTCTCAGGCTGTTTATTTTTGCAAATGTTTCAGCCAGAATGGTTCACCTGTTTCCGAGAACAAGGCTAGTGAAAAATGTTTGTTTGTTTTTTTTCTTTTGTTCATGTTGAAAAATTCAGGGATATGAAATTTGGCAGGGGGGTTGCCTTTGTGCCAGGGATGTGTCTTTTGTCATCCCCATGAATATCTGCACAAATTTGGCTGAGTTATAACCCTTTGAAAAATCTCTGTTCACACATGCTAAGTAGAGCTTTGCAGCTTAATCATGCTGATATGGAAGAGGTCTGAGGAGTGGATCTAAAGGCTCCAACCCTGCTGATGAAACATGGTTGTCAATATGATATCACATGATGGAATTTCCATTTTTTTTTCAGTTAGATTTTTTTTTAAAAGCAATCAAATTACACACTCAAAAAACTACATTAAAATCATTAGTAAGATTGCAAAGGCAAGCACTCAAAGGTTAGGAAATACCAGAATTAAGGTAGCTTGTTCAACTGTAATTCAACCCCCCTTTGCAGATGCAATATCGTACAATCTTTTTCTGTAGGACCCCTGCCTCAGTGCACATGATGGACCTGCTCTGGCAATAAATCAGGGTTGTGTAACGAAGGAGAATGTTGTCTGCAGGAACCCTGCCTCATTTGTTGCAGAAGTTGGAAGGTGTGTAGTGAATGAGGCAGGAGATTGCAAGAGGAAAAAGGATGGTCTTGTGGTTAAGTCAGTTGAATGCTGCCCTAGAGACCTTGATTCTATCCCAGTCTTTGCCAAAGAGTTCCTATGTAATGCTAGACAAGTCTCTTAAACCAAACTTTTCAGAAATAATCACTAGTTGTGTGTTCCTCATTTTCTGTGCGCTCAGCTTGAGACCTAGGGGTCTGATCTACAGAAGTGCTGAGCATTTACAGCTGGAACTGAAGTCAATGGGAACTGTGCTTTGAGCATATAAAATGCTATATAATGCTAAGTAATCTGAAAAGTCACATCCTAGGCATCTCAGATTGGGCATCCAAATGTAGTAGATTCTTTTGACTTTAAACCTCTTTGGGCCAGATTTTTAAGCATATTTATGTGCCTAAAGATGCAGACAGGTACTTAGTGGGATTTTCAAAAGCACCTAGGCACCGCATTCCCATTGGCCGTCGATGCCTCAGTTCCCCATTTGTAAAATGGGGATAATAATATTCCCTTATCTGACAGGGTGTTTGGAAAATTAAGTCATTATTCTGATGAACAGTACAGGAAGATAAGAATGGCTATACTGGGTCAGACCAAAAGTCCATCTAGCCCAGTATCCTGTCATCCAACTGTGGCCAAAGGGAATGAACAGAACATGTAATCATCAAGTGATCCATCCCGTCGCCCATTCCCAGCTTCTTAGATGAATACAGTAACTCCTCACTTAAAGTCGTCCCAGTTGTTTCATTGTTACGTTGCTGAGCAATTAGGGAACATGCTCGTTTAAAGTTGTGTAATGCTCCCTTCTAACATCGTTTGGCAGCCGCTCGCTCCGAGGGCGGCAGTCAGGCTGCCTTCGGCGGCATGCTTGCGGGAGGTCCACCGGTCCCGCGGCTTCGGCGGCAATTCGGCGGCAGGTACGCCGAATCTGCGGGACCGGCGGACCTCTCGCAGCCATGCCGCCGAAGGCTGCCTGACTGCCATGCTTGGGGCAGCAAAAAAGCTAGAGCCACCCCTGTCCCTGGCTGAGCTCCTAGATGTGACACTCAGATTGTGTGAGAGGTCAGTTTCTTTCTCAACTGTCTCCACTGGAAATATGCTGCCAAAAATGTAGAAAGCAAAGGAGGAGGGCGACCAGAGGCCAAGAGCTGGTATGGTGGCATGGAGCCTTCGCGTGGATGGCACTGGCCTCCTGCTGATCCATACAGTTTGCTGGCAATCCTAGCAGCTTGCTCCACCTGGGGAACAATGCTTCCTCCGTGGAACAGTTGGGGAGAAGTATCCACAAAGGAGAGCCATCCTTTACTCAGGTAAACTTCCACTGAAATTAAAACTAAATAAAATCTCAGGATTTGGGCTTTAGTGATTTATACTCTTAAATCAAAATTATTATTTCTGGGAGGTAGTGGTGCCCCACTGTTGGTGAGGAAGTGTACTCCCTGAACAATGGTGCATTTCACAATCATAAAGCCTTTAAAGACATGGGGGAGAAGGCACTGGGAAGTGACTCTATGCACTCTCTCCTGCTTCCTGCACTCCTTCACAGAGCAAGTGTTAATCTAGTTCTTCCTTTTTATTACTTTTGTATTTAAAAAGCGTATCAGTTCGCCTTTGAAGAACATTTTTACATTTTAATTTTATTTAATATTAAACATACTCTGACTTATTTCATTGCATTAATACATACACAGTGATTCACAGAAAGAAAAGTAAAAGTTTATAAAAACTGAAGGATTCAAGAAATTTTGATTTGTACTAAATCATAAAAGCTCTTCATACATTAGAAAAACTTATTTTGGTAAGAAAATAAGATTCTACAATCCTGCAATGTAAAGCAATTTCAAATGACTGGGGAGTTTGAATGTTGTGACAATGTTTAATTCTACAACTGGTCTATCCTAAAAAATGCAGAGATCTTGTAATATTAAATTTTTCTCCTCTGTACATAAATTAGCAATTCTTGGATAGTATGATGAACAGGCATCATGTCAGTTTAATGTTCAGATTATTACAGCATGCTTTAGAATTGTTTTCCTAGAAAATTGTAGGTTTTTTAATCATTTTTCTGACATGTATTGTCATCAAGGTTACTATTAAAACTTTGCATCATGAATATAAACCAACAAACTAAAGAGAAGTCACTTGTGCTATTTTAGAGACTAACAAATTTATTTGAGCATAAGCTTTCATGGGCTAAAACCCACTTCATCGGATGCATGCAGTGGAAAATACAGTAGGATGAATGAATACATCCGATGAAGTGGGTTGTAGCCCACGAAAGCTTATGCTCAAATAAATTTGTTAGTCTCTAAGGTGCCACAAGGACTCCTCGTTCTTTTTGCTGATACAGACTAACACGGCTACCACTCTGAAACTTGTGCTATTTTGCTGATCTTTTAATAGGGAATGCTTGACTTTCCAAAGCAACGCAGAGACTCACGAAGATGAAAAAGAACTACATGTAGTTAAGGAAATTTTTTGTCGAATGTCTTTAAAGGATGAGGAGGTATTCTAAATAAGTTTCATCCCAGTGATTTTAGTGACTGCTGCTTAATACACTTATCAATATATGTACCTGTCTTCTGACTTAAAAGTGACTTGTAAGTCACTGTAACAGAATTCCCTTAATTTTTGCAAACTGTGCCAAATGCCTCCATTAGCCAAGATTAAAAAAAAGAGTATTCGTTTAAACCAGATTTTTTGGTTTTGGTTTTTTTTGGAGGCCTGTGATAGGAAGCCCCACTTCGGGTGTCTATTTCTGCTATGATCAGATGCACCAGCACATGCTAGATTGGTGACATCAGATCCAAAGTGGAAACCAAGTGGAGAAGGATCTAGCCTTTGGGAGGGTGTGTGGAGGGGGAAGGGAAGGTTCAGGTAAGTGCCTTTTTTACTATTATGCTCAGTTTTGCAACACTTTAAAAATAATATTTCTTACAGTTCGAGGCACATTATGTCTCGACAGAGGCAGAATGGCACTGGGGAGGGCAGAGTAGATGTATCACTGAGGGAGTGAAGGAAGTACTCAGGGAGCGTGCTGAGTAGCAGGACTAATTAAACCTAATTCGGGTATTTATATCTGGCGCTTCTTCAGCACAGCCACACCATGGTGCAAAGGGAAAGTGAGGGTATAGTCCTTCTCTGACACCATACCGACAAGAGCAGGCATCATGTCAGCACTGCCTGTAGCACTAATCAGTTCTTCCAGTTATTTTTACACCAGTACTACACTTGACTTGGACTTTTTTTTCTGTGAATAAAAGTCATTTATTTTAGTCTGATTTCTTTTTCCCCATGAATTCAACCCTCTTTCTACTCTTAAGCCATTCTTGGTCTATATTTCTGCAAACTATTTAAAAATAAAAAAGTCTAAATTAAATAGTAAAAGCAAAAAATCACAAATTTAAACCTTACCTGTCCCAGTGTTACTGTGTTTATTATTTTTTCAGTCATTAATGCTGCCTGTTGAGTTAGAATCCAACACGACAACAAACTTCAGACAGAAAGTTGAGATTCCATCGTGCTTGGAACTGAAAGAGTTATTAAAATTAGCACCAGAAATTGTAGCAGATGAAAGTAGGAGTGAAAATAAAATCAAAGGTGAGAATTGTTTGCTTGATATATTGGGCCCAGTTCTCCTCTCATTTGCACAGATTTCACACCATTATCTTTTTAACTCCATTATCTTCACTTGAATTACTACTGATTCAAACTAGTATAAATCAGATGAGAATAAGGCCCATTCTGTGTATGAAATTATGGATCAGGTTTGGCATGTCAAATTTCAAAGTATTAAAGTTTCCTGTAAGCAGCCAAAAGGAAGTGATCTCTTACATACTGTACACCTCAGTTCAAACCCATGTTATTTCAGAAGCAGATATTGTTATTGAGGTGGAAGAGTGTTTCTAATGATAATAACTGAATAGGTTAGCTAAGCTAAGATGAATTTTTTAGACATCCCAGAGTAGTTTACAATAATTCGTGCAGTACAGTCACTCCATATAAGTTGTCCACAACATTATAGGGGGAGCTGGTAACAGCCTCTGTATTTACTTTGTCTACCATCTCTATTTCAAAATATTCTTATCACCTTTTCTTTGAGAAGTTCTCCCACCTCCATTGTTAGCAGCAGACCTTTGATATTGGTAGCCTGAGAGTTATTCTCCTGCTGCAGTGCCTTTTCTTTATCCCATGAAACTCCATTTGCATTTTTCTATTAAACTTTTACAAATACTTTGTTCTCTTTTGTTCCTCAGGAAAATTTTGGCAGCCTGCCAAATAACTAAAAATACAAATATTCTATAGGCTGCCAAAGTAGCAATGGCAGATGATACTGTATTGTGAATACCAAAGCAACTGTAGCGATGGAGTGGAAGTAAGAAATGGGCTGGGTTCCATATCCCTCTGGATCTGGCCCATGACCCCAGTGCTCTATGTGCCGCATGGGGCAGAAACCCACCACCTCTTGATTGGCGGGAAAGAGAGCTAGGCCAGCTTCTCCCAGAGCAACCCCCGGCACTTGACCAGTGATCCATTTCCTCCCCACCTTCCAGGAATACCATATGGGACCAGATGTCCCTAATCTCACACCATGGAGAGAGAGCGCCAGCTGGGTTCCCCCTACCACTACCCTCAGAACCCAGTGGTCCATCACTTTCTTGGCTAACAGCTTTCTCCTGCTGCCAACTAACCTAGTTAGGCCTTAGTCCTTTAGCTCCAGTGGTGGTAGCCTGTGTTACAGTGCTGAAAGTCCCGGAGTCAAACCCTGCTCGTGATATGGAGATGCTGCATTTGTACATCATAGAATTATTTTTTCATCTTTTTCTTTTAAAAAAACCCTCTAAGAAGTAACCCACAAAAATGAAAAAGAACTGCATGAAGTTAAAAACTAGTATAAATATGACATTTAAAGAAAGTTATTTAGGTTGCAAAGTCAAGATCTTGAAAGTTAGGAAATACCAAAATTAAGGTTACCTGTGCAATTTAATTTTGTGTATGTATTATAGTACTGTCAAATTACATAATCTCATGCTGTTTTTTCCCCATGGAATCACTGCCTTATTCAGTGCAAAGGATCGATTCACAAAGGGATAGAATTATAGTTGTACGAGCAACCATAAATCTGGAATTTCCTAACTTTTCAGTCCTTGACTTTGCAACCTAAACAACGTTCTTTTAATGCAATTTTTTGTATGTAATAGTGCATTGTATAATCTACCAAACACAAATAAACTATTTTATTACTATAAACATTTGATTTTCTATATTTGTAAACTAACTGTAATTTTCACAATTGTACATACAAGCAAGTAAACGAAAAACCAATATCTAAAGCATTAGACCAGAGAAACAAAATAATAAATAGTGATGGCAGCACTTTCACAGTACAAATATATATAGCAAACTTTTGTCAACGCATGTTAAAATGTAATCTCGATTCTTGTACACTTGATGAGTGCTAAGTATTGTTGTTATTACTTAGTATGCATATTAGGGTTCTCCTTCAAAACCTTATGGAAGGCCGAGATTAGCGTCATAGAACACATCTAAGCAAAAAACAAAAACAAAAATTAGTAAAATACCCTTGTGCAGTTTGTATTTCTGAGGCTTCTAGTGGCTCAGATAAAAATATTACAACCCTGCCATAGACCAATATTCTTTCCATATGTCTATCAAATGTTTAAATTGATAATCATGTTATTCAGTTCATGGTAAACACAGACCAAGGTAAACTCTTTTGTGAACCTGCTATTTCCCAGGATTCCCACTGCACATCTTATATCCTTCCTCCTCAGAGCAGAGCAGCCTTTCATACATCCCTGGATGGGGTGGTATGTATCTGCTCTGATTTGGTAGATCAGTACAGCTATTTTCAGTCCTGGGAAGCTAGGACAGGACAGGGGAGGAACTCTCTCTCTCTCTCTCTCTCTCTCTCTCAGAAGCCCTTTACCAGGAATCAACATCTGTCTAGAATTTGGATTGGCATCTTAAAGCACTAGCTTTTATCTCTAAATAAAAGAACAAATGGACATTCAGTGAAATTGAAAAGTGACATACAAAGCTGATAAAAGAAATAATTTTTCACACAAAATACAGTTAACCTGTGATACTTATTGTCAAGGGGTATAATTTAGGCCAAGATCTTAGCAAGTTTCCAAAAAGGATTAGATATTTATATGGATAACAAGAATATTCAAAGTCATAATAGTAAATATTAAAAAAAGAGTTTTGGAAGCATCAGAAACCCTCTGGCTTTTCAGGATTAGTGTTACACCTTCAGTGACACTGCTCAGTTTTTAAATCCGTGCTTGTGGCAGTAACTTACCTGTACAGTCATGGAGACTGTGGTTGTGGTCTCAACTTGGCCAGAAAAAAATTACACTTTAATTTATTTTGGCAAATGAGAGAATTAAAAAAGGGTTTTATTAGCTCAGGCAGTAGAGGCTTATGCTTTTAGGTCCAGAGGCCATCTGTTTGATCCCAGCTGCTGACAAGCCACCCATGGGAGTGGTGTTCCATAAGTTAGGAGGAAACTTTCCCTAAGGACAGGTTATTTCATATCTAGCTAATACAGGGTTTCTTGCATCTTCCTCTGAAGCAGCTGGTACTAATCACTGTGAGAGACAAGATATGGGACTAGATGGACCACTGGCCTGGTCACATAGGGCGATTGCTATGGTCTTATGAACACCTTCTGCTGTTTGCCTGGTAACTGATGGTAACTGCAGTACTTTGTATTGATAAATTCAAAATGATAATGGGGGATCAATGAAAACAGAAACAAAGAAAACATTGTTCAAGAAACAGCTTTGAGGAAAAAAGGAAATAAATGGTTATCATTTGTGGCACCTTTTTATCTCTTTTCAGATCTTACTGCAAATATTACAAATGAAATAGAGATTTCAAAATACTGTCCCACAATGGAAGAGGTTTGTTTCAATCAAAGCAGAAATCCACTGGAATGCAGTGAGGCAGGTAGGAAGTGCTATATAAGCAAATCCAGTGGTGGTTTTTAAGAACTATGATTCTTTGATTATGTATTCCATATGTATTCCATTATTTGATGCACACATGTCCTGTGCATTTGAGATCAGAATCTGTGGCCAGAGGTGTCAGGTGGGCTGCACTTGTGCCCAGAGTGAGCTCGCACCCTAGCCTCTCACCACTCCTGAGTACATAAAGGGCAGAGTGAGGCCAGTTGTTCTTCAAGTTTTTACCACCTGTGACTGCAAGACAGAACTGCAGGCAACATTCTTACCTCTTGCATTTGGCTAGCTTTGTTTGTAACTAGCTTTTAGCTTAGGCTAGGTCTACACTACAGCGTGGGGTCGACCTAAGATACGCTACTTCAGCTACGTGAATAGCGTAGCTGAAGTGGCGTATTTTAGGTCGACTTACCTGGCTGTGAGGATGGCGGCAAGTCGACTGCTGCCGCGCTGCCGTCGACTCCGCTGCCGCCTCTTGCCGCGGTGGATTTCCGGAGTCGACGGCAGAGCGATCAGGGATCGATTTTATCGCATCTTCACTAGACGCGATAAGTCGATCCCCGATAGACCGATTGCTACCCACCGATCCGGCGGGTAGTGAAGACGTGCCCTTAGTAAAAAAATTACAGTGAAACAAATAAAGGAAAAAAAACAACCAAAGAAACAAGTTCCTTGCAAGCTAGAAAAATCAATAAGCACGTCTGAAATTCATTTTACTGGCAAAAGTAGGGCAGTAAATGTGACCTACAAGAGATTGCTTTGATTCCCCAATCTTGTTTGCATAGCTGGTTAAAAATATAGGGTCTGATCTTGCAAGTGCTCTGCATATGGAACATCAATTGAAATTGAATTGATTTCAGTGGGAGTCTTCTGTGACAAGCATTTACAAGACTAGGGCTGTAAGTAGCACTGAATTTTATTTGCATATGAAACAATAATTGACTCCCTCAGAGTTTGAGGTATCTGAGTTGCAGACTTGCAGGTTTCACTGTCAATGTGAGTGATATTAGAACCATTACAAATATAATTTGAAAGAGCCATTCCATCTAAGTAAGAGCTACCTAACTGGACCACAGCTGATCAACATTTAATTTTTTTAAATGCCCCAAAATAATAACTGGTGATTTTAAATTCTGAATGGTTGGCTAGGTGTGCAGAGATTCCCAGAATCACATAGGAAAAGCAGTAAAAGTGTGATTTATGCATTACTATTACCTCTGTTGTCTAGATATTAAAGTACCACAATTTGGTCTTTATTGCTCAAATGATAAAACATAAAATCTTCATAATAAATTTGAAACACAAAATGTAACTGGTGTCAGTTATACATAAATATTTACATTTCTTTCACTTATATTTGTGAAATGTGGTGTCATTTTTCTGCAATTCCCAGTTAGTTACGCTTTATATCCTCAATATGAAGTAGAAATACCACTAACTCCGCCATGCAGACCACAAAGATCACACGTGAATTCACTTCATGCAGGACTTCAGGCAGAACCTATTTCTCCTGTTGGTAACAGGTAAGAAAAAGTTTTATGAGAATACAACTGGTACAACCTCTTCCAAATTAGTGCAAAACTAGCTTAATTGGATTCTGTTAATTTATGGCCTCATTCTGTGAGATGTTCATTGCCGATGGTTTTGTCCATTGTGCACTTTGCCTTGGAGAGAAACTTTATTCCAGGGAATACACCCTGTGCATGGTCTCAGTGCATGGAGCTTGAAAAGACCAAGAGAGTTGCTTTAAGGCTGTCCTCCTGTAAGGAGGTTTAATATCCTTGGGGAAGGTGAGGACTCATACCTCCGTGGCAGTGAATCCTCCAAAGTCCTCAGCAGAGAAGCACCCAGTGAGTACCTTGGCCGAGTGCTGGGGATATCCATGTGGTGACAGAAGTACCAGCAGGGCTGTTCCATGGCTGCTTCTCTATGCTATTTGCTAGAGTAGCCTTCACAGTCTTAATATTCTCCCTCCACAGACATGGAAGGACTAAAGCATCCTCTTGACAGGGGACCTCAGTCTCCCTCCCTACCACCGTGATCCACACTAGCTTCCCCTTGCTTGCCTCCAGCCCATTCAAGGGGTATATATACCCCTCATCTTTTCCCCTCTTTGGGGAGTGGAACCACATTGGTCCTGCAGCCAGAGAGCCCACTGCACCCACAGATGAGGAGGAAAGATTTCCCCAAACGAATCAATAAGAGAAAGTAGAAGATTGGAGAGAAAGTAAATACTTTTGCAAAATTACTTTCTCTAAATGTATTACCAGAAGAAAGTTGATTTGAAAATCTCAAGCTATGATTTAAGCTTCTTACCACGTGTCTCCTTTTTTGTTTCTTTGTTTTAGTATTCTGCTTACAGAGTCAACTAAGGAGTACTTAGAGTGCCTGGTGTGGCAGTCAGAAAAATACCAAAATGCTGTGAACTCTCTTTTGCTTGAAGGTAAGGAAGTATGAATTCTGATATACTGAATTGATATAGAAGAGTTGTATGTGAAATATTACAACAACATAGAAATTAATCTGGGAAGTGCTTGAAGAAATATATGCAGATATTTGAGGATACATTTTCAAAGTTTATTAAATGAATGTAGAATGCAAGGAATGTGTGAATACAGCTCGTTTGCACACTAAAAATTTATCCCATTGCATCTAAGGTGGGATGTTTGATTTTTTTCCTTTATATCAATCTTCTTGTAAGGCAGATAACTAGTTTGTCTTTCCACAGTGCTAGTTTGTATAAAATGACAGCTTTCCCCCAGTTTGAAAATCTTCAGTTCACCTCCTGATAATTATTTTAATGGGTATAGTAATTTCTAAAACTCAGTAACAAAAACCTAATTTATAACATGCTCTGTTGAAATATCAATTTTTATTATAGAGTATGTTCTTATCTTCAAATAATTTTTAAAAATCCATACTAATCAATTCCTTAGTGGAATCATATTCACGGAGAGCTAAGTTTCCAATGCCAAATGCACACATTAGAAAGTGGAATATGGAACCAAAACCAACTAAGTCATAAATTATTTCTGACCCCAATGGTTAGTGTTAAGAAATAACACCAAAAGACTTCTGTGAGATAAGTGAGTTACATCCTCATTTGTAAAATAGTCTATTTACTACTTAGAGTTTTCAAATAATGATTATAATAGATGCTTGTAAGCATAGAAGGTAAACTCATAGATAATGAATAAATCTCAGATCATTTGTAATGCAGGTTTATATCAACAGACTAGAGATATAATTACAGCTGGGGAATTGAACACAAAAAACAAGGTGAAAAAAATGTACATTTTACTAAGCTATGTAAATGTTTCTTTCTTTGCTCTTCAGGCAAGTGATGATACTGAATTAGTAATGGAAAGATATACCAAGGGATATACATAATCTAAGTCATGAATATTTTTTTGTAATTTTGCTGTCAAAAGTGTTCTTTTCTCAAGTTTCTAGTCCATTAATACTTTATACTAGTTTTTGTCTTGTTTTTTTATAGAGAATCAGACCGTTGAACCTACATTTCAACATCATTCAGTTACAGAGCTGAAAAAGATGTTGTCCATCCATGTGGAAGCTCCAGTGTTTAGCCCATTGAAATCAGACTGGTGGATTCATTCAGGACTAAATCTGGTATTACCAGATTCTTTGGAGCAACTAAGCACTGATTTGGGTAGTGCAAATAGCATGTTTACTACTAAAGTGGAAGTATTCTCACAAATTACACAATTTCAGTTAGAAAGTAAGTATATTTGTTTTTGATAGAAAAGTTCAATGACAAGAATGGCAAGGAGATCTTTAACAGAGGATCAATCATGCAGTTCAGTGACGGATAGTAGCATAGCACCAACTAAGAAAGGAATCAGAAAAATTCTCATTCTCAAAAAGAAAAGAACTCAGAAAAGCATAAATTAGCCTGCACTATTACTCTAAAGTCTGATTTACAAAAAGCTAAGATTGTCAGTTGCGTGGATAAAAGTAAGTGTGCACTTGCATACTTAATTTGTGATTACCATGATTGCATATGCAAATTATGGTAGTTGCAAGTACAAATTAGCCACATCAGGCCCTTAATGTTTCTAATAAAATACCTGGCAGGAGAACTTTTGAAAGGGATATAATAATTTCAAAGTATTATTAATTAATATCACCATAATAGTGAATATGTTGATGTAGCAGACTCTTATATTGTTCCAGCTTCTTCTAGGATAGGCCAGTGGCACAGGACCTGTTGTAGTTAACTCAGCTTCTATTATAGTGAAGATTCATCAGTATACAATATTATGCAGGGATTTATTCACTATGCAGATTTGCAAGGCTATTTGCGTGCAACTCACATGGAAGAATACTACCACCTAACTGTGGCAGCTCTGTAGAGACAGAACATATTGCAGTGCATTTAGCTACAGTATTGTTAACATGAATATATAGAAGTAATACAAAGGGTTATGATTTTGGGAAATTGCAGCTCTAAAATGCATCAAATCACATCCTTTTTATTTTCTCATATTACAGACGCTTGCAATAAGCACAGTTACCCCAGGGCCAGTGCAAGGAAGTTTTGTGCCCTAGGCGAAACTTCCACCTTGCGCCCCGCCCCCCCAGCCCTG